ACAGAAACCTCGACTCACTGGCGAGTATGCTTATTTCACCCGGGACTTTTTTTACAATTTTTTCAAGAGTCTCCTTGTAAAGAGACGTCTTGGAAGAGCAAGATAGTCAGCATTTGTTTGGGAATACGCCACGCTTTCGTCTTCCATTTGATAATGAAGGTCTTTCGAATGTGCTTAACCCTGCACAACGACCTACGAGAAGCAAATGATAAAGGAAATCTGAAAACCCTCCTAACAAGCGCTCAGTGTGATTAATATAAACCTTTAGTGTCAAATAAAGTCTTCGGAATCATTCGATCGCTTCTTGGTATGCGTTCTGCCTTTGACTTCCAATCAAAAACGTACAGGAGCTTGAATGGGCATGTGGTCTATATAATGACTGGCAAAGGTCAGCTGGCCAGCTAAGCTCATGTGCGAGCATTTATACTCTGAAGACCTCTGAAACAGGTTTAGTGAAACCGGAGGGATAGAAGGTCGATTGGCCTGGGCCGGTATTGATCCGGGATTCAATCTCCGGGCCATACGCGTGTGACAGTGCGCCACTTGTCACTACATCACCTCCACTCTTTATAAAACTACGAAAGATAATATAGCTAATGCATGATATAATAATTACGGTTAATCTAAGTAATGCATAAACTATGACATTACGAATATAGGATCAAGTGAATAAGTAGATAAATAATTAAATAAATAAAAATATAGATAAATAATTAAATAAATAAAAATATAAATAGTGTATTGTATAGTGTAATGATCATGAACATTCAAATCCTACATCGGAAATGTGGAAGTCTGCCATTTCTTTGAAATGAAGTTCACGGTGTGCGGTACTTCTAGCCACTTCACCCACCTCAGCCTAACGCAATAGATGGTACTTCACGGGCCGCTATAGCCTCACCCCCATAAAAAAGATGAAGCGGCTTAATGTTCACGCTGAACAAAACATTTCAAGCTACCCAGAATGATCGATAATTCTCTTTTTGCTAATTCTAATTTGTCCATACGACGACTTTTTTGCAGCAATTAATCAGTCAGTCTTCTGTTTTTGCTGCAGAGCATGTCATCCGTTACTCAGAAAATGTTCCAGAACTGCTGATTCACCAGAGACCTCCGCAAGAAGGCCCAAAAGCCGGATGGGACTTGGCGAGGTCCTTGATTCGTACATTGCCGGTACGACATGGCGAGTTCCATGACCTGGACATGGTCCAGATTATAGAACTCGCCATGTCAAACCGGCAAAATTTGGACAGGATCCTACAAAATAATGAGGGTGATGAGCGTGGTTCCAGCCCCTGTGGGCTGACTCTATCGCGACTATTGGAGGAAACATAGTAGTTAGTCACAATGGCTAGAAGTCGTTTCAACCCCCCGGCTCGAGGGCTAAGGGAGACGTTTTGCGGAAAAAATCGTCTAGCGCAGATTGGTCATTTTTTCCGTTCGAGCTTTTTCATAGTGAATAAAAAAGATTACTAAAAGTCACGAGTAAAATCGAAGAGAGGAGGATGTGTACAACGGTTGGAGTCACAAAATGTTTCAGTGTAAAACCTACAAAGAACGCTCGAGTGTAGCGTAAGCGAATTTTCACTCAGAATCGATACTAAGCTGTGGGATTGTCGTCCACGACAGGAAAAGACGCCGCTTTAGACGTCAGCGAGGATCATTGACATCTGTGTGAGGTTCACGAGAGAGGGAGTGAAAGAGCCGCCGGTTCACACTCTGTATCGCTCAGCTATCGACAAGGAAAAGTTGTACTTCGACAGCTAGAGGTAGGCTTGAGGCGAGTTAAAGCTGAGTGACTCCCAGCTTCAAATATAAACCTACCGAAAAGCGGTTAGATGATGGGTAACGGTCAGAATACGGCCATCACCCCAAGAGAATACCGTAGCCAAAAGAGTTTAAGGGAGCCTATCCTGTTCCCTTCCACACTTTCCTCAACAATGCCGCCATTATTAACCAAAACCTCAAATTCAAGAAGAAGTTTGAAATTGATAAGACCCAAACAGTTCTGAAGTACACCCTAGTTGAAAAATGAAAAAGGGTAGAATGTGGATGAAGACGTTCTGTTGAAACTTTTTGGTGGAAATCAGCCAAAGCGAAGAGACTGATTGATCAAGAGGGACCCCTCTGAGACCAAGGTAGCGGTGGAAAATACGGCAGATCGAGGAAAGTGGCGACGGTCAAAAGAACAGAGGGCTCCGCGTCTGCCTGGGATCAACATCTTCGAGAAAAGAACAAGAAGAAGATCCAAGCCATTCTGTCTCCTTCCATTACTGCCCATAAATCCTTGCACTTTTAATCCTTAGTAATCATTCGTATAATTAATTATTCATTATGTTAATTACTATTGTTATTCAAATCTCCTATCCTTACCTCCAAGAAGTAGCTCCAGTATAATTTCGCACCACTCCTCATCACCACGCGCACCTATCACTTCACCACTTTTGTATTCCAATGACCCCCTTTTTGATAATTCCCACTTAATCCGTGCTTTTTATTCAAATTAACCCTTTGTCCAGAACAACAGGAACAATGGGTACGAGGGAACTTAACCGGGTACCGTGCTATGAAGTGACCAGGGCTCAGCATGATTTGCAAATAATTCACCCTTGCAGTCCGAATACGGTAACCATTTCATTACAAATATGTTATCTGAGAATAATGACCACTTGACGGAACGAGCTCTAAAAAAAGGATATTTCCCATATGTCAGCTCGTGGCTATGGTAACCAAACCCATTGGTCCGATCCACTTCTCTTTGGCAGGATTTGGGCTATTTCATTCTCTACCATACATCACAAGTCAGCCTTTCGAATTACAGCTATTGGAATATGAATACATTGAGAAATGAATGACCTTCGTATTCTGCTCGCCCTCTCCTTCTATGGCATTGAAGCCATTAAGAAGGAGAAGACAGGTGGAGTTCAAATGCTCTGCCAAGAATTTTCGTTAATCATGTGGAGGTAGAACAAAAACGATCGAATATAGGAAAAAATTGACAAAGTACAAAATAATTGAAATCGGCCATTAGCTCGACTACGCGCCATGCTTCCAATATTCATTCAGAATCTTGAGACAATTTGGATGTACTATGTATACGTTATTTCACCCAGGGCGGGCTTGTTTAGGGAGCTCTTGAGGATCTAGGTGTTCCTCTTCAAAACGAACAAACAAATATGTAGCCAGGTGTAAGCTTGGGCAGAGAATGAACCTGCTCTAGCTATTTCCCTTGCAAATTGAAAAAACAAGAAATTGTGAAGCCTGATAAAAAGTCGAAATCAGATGAAAGTCCCTTCCGACGCCGAAGTTCTGCCCATGATCCGCCACCCTGTGATAAAAAAGTTTCCCCTGGTCCCTGAAGACTTAGAAGCATCTTTGGGAGCTTTGAAATTTGCAAAAGCTATTGAAGTGCGTCTTGAGTAAACATAAGGAAGCGATCGGTTAGGAAACGTTTCTGCCAGCGCTCTTCCAGGAAGAGACGAATCCAGCTTCTCCAATGGAGCAGTGGAAAAACGATACTCAAGGGTATATGCTCTTCTAAT